GTGGTCGTGGTCGTGGTCGTGGTCGTGGTCGTGGTCGTGGTCGTGGTTGTGGTTGTTGTTGTTGTTGTCGTTGTTGTTGTTGTTGTTGGTGTGTATGTGGGTGTGTATTGGAATAGGGAGACCTCCGAAGAAGGGAAATGGACCAGTCTACCCGTGTCAGAGTTTGCTGTCTGTGGTCGTGCTAGTGGACGAGCTGTACAGCTAGTGGCGGCCTACCCCAATCCTGTTGGACCGGAAGAAATAGAAACGTACCAACCAGGTGTATAGAAACGTATCATACACCAAACATACATCGAAAGCTATATATGCTCCATCAGCCATGACCAAAAACCGCTGCGTTTCTTTTACTGCCTTTTTCACCAACATCCAGCATGCCAGCCTCTCCCTCTGCGGTCTTCCTCCCAGTCCCCTCCCAAAACTTGCGTCGAGAAATCGCGGCGATCTGAGATGAGCGGCCCAGAACTTCTTGATGATCTGCCCACTGAGCAAATGAAGCTGTGGATCCACCTCAACCGCTCAACCGGCGCCAACCCAGAAAAGCCCAGGCGCCCCTTTTCCGGCACCCGCGGGCATCGTGTGAAGCCCAGGATGTGGGTTGTGGAGTCGACGTGCTTTTCTTGACGTCCAACCCCTTGGGGCCAAACTCAATGTTTGATCAGGCCACATGAAACCTTTTTGAGGATCAGTTGAAATGATGGAAAAACACCTCCAACCCGGATGTTTGTGTCCCAACCCGCTTCACTGGGCGCTGCACCAGGGATGTGAAAAGGTGCTGCTTCACTTTGTCAAAAACGTGGAGCCACTCATCAGCCTCCTCATCTTCGAAGAAGAATGGTAAACTGGCACTGAGCACCTGCGCGCGAACACGGGGCCCCACGCGAACACGCCGACGTGACCACCTTCCCTAGACTAGACCAAATGGTGACAACCCTCCCAAAAATGTCTCGTCTACCGCTGAACCAGCATGCACAAATACGGATAGCATTGAAGTGTTTCCCTTCCGCCCGCAAGTATCAGTGGAACAAGTGAACACACCGTTGCTGGAAACGGTTTTAGACGCGGAACCAGCGGTTTCAGCGCGACTCGAGTCCAACACACGCGCGTCACACGGACTTACACAAATGATCGGTCCACTTCACTGGGATGAGAGGCAGCATTGGGCTGAAACCTTCCGTAGTATCAAGGCAGTTGTCTTTGGGTGTTTGTCTTGGCTTAAAGAACGAATCTTAGGCTTATAATGAATACAGTATAAATATATATATATATGTGTGTGTACCTGTATAATTCTGCATATTGTGACAAAAGGAAAAACATCCAACCTCCCAAGGAAGTTGTAGTAGGATAACAGAAGTGGCAATGCCGTGGGTTCCAAAATGCTGGCGGACTGTCTTTTCCTGGTGCCCGGGAAAGGTCAAACGTGGTCCATCCTGATGCCCCAGATCTGGTGAAGAGTTTTCGGAGTGCCCAACTGGAGATGTTCACATGAGAGAAAAGAATCACATGTCAACATGTCGGGACAATCCTTATATAGCACACACCCTCAAGAGCCTCCAAGTGTTCTTCATCCACTTTCACCAACTGCGTTGCCTGGCCCGGCACGCAGGCTTGAGGATCCACTGTTTGCTCGTTTGCTCTTTCTCAAGCCACGTCAGGTACCTTCTTGCAGAACAGGAACAGCCAGGGCACCTTTAGTAGACACAGTAGTGCAGCACCCTGCTCGACCTTCTAAACTTCTGAGGTTCCCCAACTTTTGGCAGAGACTCCCACTCTGTCCGACTCTGTCCCCCAAAAAATCAGAGTGCCAAGCTTGGCCCTAAACGTGCACCAAAACGAGACCTCGCCGCACTCCGCACTCCGCCCGGCGCCGCGGATCCGCGGAGCGCCTCCATTTGCATGGCCAGCGTGCGGGCGATGTCCAAGTGAGGCCAGACCTCCGGGAGACTGGTTTCCTGGGCACGGAGCGCACGGAGGAGGTGGCGAGTTTCTGGCAGCTGGCAGAAGGCACGAGCCAATTCAAACTGGAGATCCTTGGGTTGAGATTTCAAACTGGAGATTGGTGTCTGTTGCTGGTAAACATCTCCTGTAACCAATGGGCTGGATGCCCAGCACGGCAACACAAAGGCAGAAGGTTGGTCATTCTTCCTTCACACATGTAGTATTGTGTGACAACTCATGTTGAAGCACTGCCAAGTGAGTCGGGCATGATCTACACCTGCCTCTCCCCTGTGGCATCTATGACTTGCAGTATTCACAATGGATCAAGATGGCAGGTTCTTGCACAAGTGACCCTTTGCAAGGATAGAAGCCACAAAAAGTAAACACCTGATGTTAGCTGTTTAATCTAAGTCAGAGAACAACCACGGGCGCACCTCGTACATGCTGGTGCTATTGCCCTGCACGTAGCTCCGCCGCGCCCTCTCGCCACCCTGCGCGGGAAGACGAGGGTCTCCACGTCGCAAAAAGGCGCTAGGTAGAGCACTTGTTCCTAGTAGCTTCTTGTTACTACTAGTAAGGCACTTGTT